TTCAGATGAGCAACCAGCTGGGCTATCCTTATTCCTAGCATTTTGATGGGTTATAAGTCTGTGATTTAAGCCTAACCCACTGCCAACAGTCTTCTCTGCCTAACTCGTGCCTCTCACATGCCTGGAGAGACTGGTGTTTTAAATTCATTCTAGGTGTATGAGATCCATCCAGCATAGATGGATGTGTAAAACTGCAAATTGCAGCAGAGCAAGCATAGAAAGTTCCATGGCACACTACAGAAGCTTCAAGGTAGTACAGTTTTACTACTGAATTTTTCTATTTTTACTAAGACACCAATGATAGGAGAAAAGCATTAGTAAATTCAGCAGAGAGAAAACCTTGAGGTCCATGGGAAGAACATAAATGTAACCCACGTGCAAACAAAGACACTAAAGGCAGCATTTACGGGGATGTGGGCACTACAGCTTTGTGTACAATGGAAAGACTTTCAGGTCATTAAGAGATATTCCGGAAGCCATCCATTAATTCCTCTGCCCAGTGTTAGCCTTTGAAATGGTAGAACATTCATTTTGTACACAGCCCTGTGAAGTTCTGCTGTAAAACTATCCCTTTCTCACTTGGTTTCCAAGTCTTCTTTTTTTTTTTTTTCATCAGCAACTTTCCACGTCTTTGTTTCCTTGTGTTGCTATATCATGAGTGCCTGCCAAGAAAGAGGCTTGGGAGAGTTTATGGAAGGAGGTTCCCTAAAGAAAGAGGAAAAAATACTTTTGTAGGCAGACCACACCAAAAGGCGTATACTGCCAATCATCGTAATAATTTTCTTTCATTTATAATACAAAAATATACTTTATAACACTAAAATTAACTTGAAGCCCTCTTACTCTTTGCCCTTTCCACATACTATTCCCAATTATTTCTCAGCTAAAAGGAAATGATCCATGATTCCAAGTAATGTCTAATTGCTTTTTCTGGGATGGTTTTGTACTTGGGTAATTGACAATAACTATTTTTCAGTCTGGAAAATACATCACTGTATCTTAACTACACAAATGCAAAATAGAAATAAATTCATTCCCAAGTTGTTTTTCATTTAAAATTTCTTAATTACATTCTATTTATGGAGGAGGTCATGTGCCAGGGCATGTAAGCAAGGGTCAAAAGGACAACTTTGGGAGTTGGTTCCTTCCACCTACCATGTCAACCCCAGGAAACAAACTCAGGTTCTCAGGCTCTGCAGCACGCATCTCCACCCACTTGAGCAGCCACCTTGCCAGCCCTAACTTAAGACTTAGCCCTAAGACTTGCAAAAAGATCTCCAAGCTGGTTTGCACTTGGGAAACACTTTAGTGGGGCCCTCCCTGGCCTCATTGTCAAGCAGAACCATACTTAAATAAAGCAAATGCCATTTGGTTTGAAGGTAGTCTCTGGCACATCCATCTCACTGCATAAGCACTGAATCTTTGAGAAGCACTGACAATATGAATGTATTATTCTGATTTAAAAGAAGACTACAAGGCAGCTGGTGAAAGTATTTTGATACTGCGCAATGCTCACTTGAAAGTATTCAGCATGCAACATTAATCTCTGACTAACACTTCAAAAAGTGGAAACCAAAAGTCTATAAGAGAGACTATCAGGACTCTGCCATCCAAGGGAAGTCAGGTATTTTCAGTCTGGCCATATGAAAGAAATAACTTCCATAGCTATTTCTTTTCAATGAGAAATACCCGGAGTTGGCACGGGGATTCCATTTTTACAACTCTGTTTTGAATGTAAGATGTGTGTTGCTTAGCAGCCAGACGCTCAGCCATCAAATCCATGTTTTGATGGGCGCTGAGTTCTGTTCAAATTTTGTGTCCAGATGTCTTCTGCTAAATTGCTTGTTTTTCGGGCGTGAAGCAAATGTGTGAGGAAGTGCTTTCCACTCCTGTTTACTAGCCAGTAACACCTTAAGCGTTGTGTCTAGCAGTCAGCAGAAGAGTGCTAATAATTCAGCTATCAAGCTACCACACTTCACTGTCACGGCTATGTTCTGGCCTCCCGTAATGTTCTGATTATAGAAACAGCACCCACTATTTTTCTGGCACAACGCCACTTCCATTGTGAATGGCATTCCTGCTGGAATTCACACTGCTTCTACCACCAAACATTAGAAATCCAGTCCCCAGGGGTTTACTCTTAGCTTCCCAGAGCCCTCTCCTCATTTTGACTCTCTTCCTTATTGTACAATGAATTTTTAAAGACAATTTTGAGTTTATTTTCCAGATCATTCACTCCTCTTTAGGAACAAACATCTTCCGGATTAATGTCAAGATCAGAAACTCTTTCACATTCGTCTCCCTACATCTGACCAACAATGAACTCTTTATTACTGCATAGACTAAAAACCTTGGGTTGAATGTGAACCAGCCAAGAGACTACAATAAAAGGTCCTTTAACTTTCATTAATTACTAAAGCAGGCTTTAATAAGCTATTGTGCTCCACCTAGACCCTCTTTTCTCTCTTGCCTATCTTGGGATGCTTGATCTAAGACTCAGACATTTTCCCTCGATTATTTGCTTCCTTCTTTGGTTGGACAAGAAATGGACACTAGGAGACAAAAACCTTGGAGGAGAGAGAGGGTTTTACTGTCATTGGTATGCTGACTGGACCAACTAATTCAGTCACACATTTGAGATCAAAACCACTTTAAGTTTACAGTGACCATTGCCAAGCAATTACAGCTATAGATCAACATTAAAAGAGATTTAGTAATCCAGAAATGGGGAGAGTGGTCACAGATTAAGCAACTCTAGCTTATCATGCATGAAAGAATTATTGAAAAACTTGAGCCATAGAACATCAATATTATACAATAGGACAAAGGATAGATTGTCTCATAGCAGGCACTGTGAATGTGTCTTTTCAATGACGGATTGATTTGATCAATCTTGTTTTGATAAATCAACTACATAAACAACTGCACAATCAGCAACCATCATGCTTTGTTTTGCAGGTAGAAACATATATTTCAAGAGAAACATAGGCAATCTGAGGACACAGTCCAGTCAGTTATTCTTCACAAATATTGTATATAGATATTCAAATACTCAGTCAACAATTATCTTTATAGCCAGAGATATACAGAGGTTTAAAAAGTCAACCACTTCCTAAAACTCTATTTCAGAAAATACAACATTGAGTGGGTATTTCATGAGAACTTGTGGTAGATATGGTTGTAAAATAAAGTTGTCCATCCAGGAGTTAGCATAGCAGACACACCAAGCTTCTACATGCCATGCATGGCCAGAGGCAGTATGGAGAATCAGTGAAGTGTAGGGAAGTGCTAGAAAAAGACAGGAAACAGGAGGGTTGAATGATTACTGATTAAGTAAAGAAAGAAGTAACAACCAGATTACTAGAGGAAAAATCATATATTGCAGGTATTGGTTTGTTAGTGCTGCAACAACAAAAACAGAAGGAAGGACAGATCTAACAACAAAGAGAAATTCTCACTCAGTTCTGGAGACTGGAAATTTCAAGATCAAAAATCTTCCTGGTATATCTTTAGATAAGATATCTATCCCTAGTTTCTAGGGGTCCCTCTTCTTCCTGTGTGTTTACATCGTCATTCCTCTTTATATCTGTCAAAGAACAGAGATGTGGCAGGGAAAGAAGACAGAAGGGATAGGAAGAGAAAGAAAAGGGAGGGGAAGAAAGAGATCCTGAAGAGCCCCATATTATCTGAGCTGAGTTCCATCCTTGTTACGTTATAGACCCTTTCTCCAAGTAGAGTCACACTGGAGTACTGGGAATTGGGTTGAGGGATTTAGGGATGATATAATCAGGCCATAGCATGATGCTACCACATTGTGTGCTGTGAACTGATTGCATTGGAAATCAATGGAAAGAACAGTAATGAAGGAGATAAGTGAGTAGTACTATAAAATGAACCCTGTGTCCTCATTGGCTGACTGGCTCCTGTGGGCATAGTGGTGTTAGAGATTGAAAAGTGTGGGTCAAGAAAAAGTTTTAAGAAAAAAAAGACAAATATGGGTAAGTTAAGCTTTTATTGTAGATAGAATATTTCAGCTTATTGTTTGGGGACCAAAATGCAAATTACCTATGCAGGAAATAGTTGTTAAGACAGGGCCTGAAGAAGATCAGGGTACATTGTGTTGTCAGTAGAATTGTGTGGCTAGAAGAGTAGGCATCCCAAACATTGTGATGTCTTACTCTTTCTTTGAACTCTACTCTTGGCCTTACCAGGAACTAATACTGCATAAAGTGTTCTTCAAACTGTTGCCCTTGGGAACTCTTCCCTTATCAGAATTTATGTTTCCTTCAGTTCCTTATCTCAGCATATTTTTACTGCATGGGAAAACAATCTCTCGATCAAGATGAGAAGTTCTCTCTCTCCTGTGGCATTCTTTGCTTGGATAGCAATGCCTGCTCAGTGCTTGGCTCCATTTCCCATCTGGTACCAAGCATGGATGATTTCCAAGCTCCCCTCTGAGCACTAAAGCTCTAGGTGGCATGCTTTGCTGCCTGCCCTTCCCCTTTTCCATCCCACAAATAAGTCTGAGTTATTACTAGTATTTCTGAATGGCAAGAAAACTAACAAAGTCCCCATATTCACAGTCTCTGTGACAGTAACAGGCCAAATGATTTCCTTGTGGAAACTTTTTGGTCCTAAAGATGATCTCAGATATAGTTTGAAGATAAATCTACTGTCTCTTTCCTGTAACCTGGCCAACACCATACCATGGGACCACAGTTAACTCCCATTATACTTTCAGAACACTTACATTTTACTCAGTTTTCCACTATATCATTCAATACCCAATAATAATGACATGATGTTGATTCTAACAGAAAGCCACTGCCAGAAAAATATATAATTTGCCTTCTGGTGGATATTGAGTAAGCAGACATTCATCAGCACTTTCAATTCACTTAGCTCTTTCATAGATGCTGAGCTGCCTTCTTTAGTGTCTCCTATGTCCATTACTAGAATATATGTCAATATATGCTGTAGTGTGTATACATATATATATGATCCCCAGTACTATTCCTTTCCTTCCTCTGAATTTTAAAAACCCCATAAACTTGAAGGCTAACTAACAGTTGGAACAAAGTTCTGTTGTAAAGAGGGTCACCAGAAAACTGAAAATATGGATGCAAAATGAAATTTTAATAATTGGGTATGTAGTCTTCACACCTTGAAAAGCACTTTGGCTTAGAATGTTCATATGTTCTTTGTAGATCTTGAGGGTGAAACCATAACTGCGCTAAAAATGTTCAAAACTGCATGAGAGAAATGGAGAGTTTTCAGTTTATAATTACAGCTGTGGAAGTGTAATGGTGTGGCTATGGAGTCAAGGGGCTTATTCAGTATGGTTAAGAAAATACCAAGTGCTTCTGTTCAGAATTCAGTCACATGCACAAGTCCATGGCAAAAAGCCAAGTGCATTTAATGCAATTCAAAGAAAACAAGGGGGGTTGATGGCCTCTAATGAGCAATTGATTAGCAGTAAACAGAGATAATAAGATTCCGGTTTCCACTCCATTGGGAACAGGAAGGCCATTTCCTTTTGCATTGGCTGATTAGTGACACAAGGAGTGGAAGTCAAGTCTTGGATTCTACTATTTGAAGATAATCAACTCCAAATTATGATGATAAACATAAATCTTTGTTTAAAACCATATGCATACGTAAAAATAACCTACTGTGTGTAAGGAATCAACCATGACCAGGGATCTGGCCTTAAAATGGCTAAAATGATGAAAGGGAGTATTAAAAATGTGTTATACTATATTATTATCCCAAATAGTAATTATTATGCAAAAGACAACTCAAATTTCAATTTTTAAAACTGCCTATTTGTTCTTAGCAGCTGTAATTTGTGATCTCCTGGGATGACAAGGAAGGATACCCAGGGAAGCTTATGGGCTGGGGGGATATTGTTGGCATTATTGAGGCCATGATTCACAAAGGTTTCTTGATGACGCTTCCACTATCTGAAGCTGTACTAACATGGTGGCTGGCCACTGGGTAGCTCAGTACAGCTGAAAGTCACAATATAAGCAGCACAAGGAGGACCTGAAAATATAGATGAGACAAAAAATCGGGCATAGCTTTTAAGTCTTGCTCACCTTTGTTGGACTTCTACACAGAAAAGCAGAGAGGAATGAGGAGTACCCATTGCCACTGAGTCTGTACACTGGAAGTGTAGTGATACCACCTTGCACCTGTGTGCCTGAAGGCTGCTGAGGTCCACCAGCAGGCAACATAATAAAGATATATGAGGACCATGACATTGAGTCCGACTTGTATCTCAACATTCAATTTAATTAACCAAATGTTGGTAGAGTCCCATTGTAAGATACATATTATGAACAGATGATAGCTATAATAGAAACAGTACTTCTTTCCCAAACTAATATTTTACATTCCTTTCCAGGGTTGGTTATTAACTTATGGCTTACTTGGGAACGCTATATTGTTCTTTTTGTTGTAAATACATATGCTGAGTTTTAATGAAATTTATAATTATGCGCAAGAAATTTTTGTCTATTTAATAATTAAATTAACACTTAAAGAGAATGTTACTAGAAAATTGGACATGTCAAAAGTTGTGGTTTCTCTTGTCTTCCTTATGCTTCATTTCTTTAATGTCTTGTGGATGTCTTTAACTGATTTTTAAAAATTAGTATGATGTGATCATTTTTGCTTATGAGGATCACTTAAAAGCTTTGGAACTTCTCAAGACTAGAACGAATGTACTCATATCTACCTATACAGCATACTTGTATCACACATGTTTTCTCATGTGTGACCAGGTTGAGATATACTGTTTCTAAAACCTATGAGCAAAATGGCTCAATGGATAAAGGTGCTTGCTGCCAATCTTGACAAACTGAGTTTGTCCTGAACACATGAGTTGGAAATGGAAACCTGACTCCCACAAGTTGTCTTCTGACCACTGTACATATACTATGACACACACATGTTCACACACCCAATAAATAAGCATGAAACGATCAAAAAGCTATGTGTGGCCCTGCAGAGGTTTCTGAAGACACAATGTGTGAAATTACAGTTCAACTGGGAAATTCAAAACTAATCTTTCAAGTAATAATGGACATACAAAAGTATGAGAAGCTGTCTTTTCCGAGCTGCAATCAGAGCCAGCCGAATGGCCCACAATTCTTACCTGAGAGGGGAGTGTGGATAAAGAAAAGGCTAGCTAACGTCGTTAAGAGAAAGACAGACACAGGATAAAATCAGGAGGGCAAGTCAGTCAGTCAATACTGAATGCTGAATGCCCTGAGTTTATTTTTTTACCATTCTTAAATATCTTAGCCAAAAAAGGGAACATGGTATCATATATAAAGAACAAACAGAATTTTCTTCCTCAGTTCTCCAAGGATTCAGTTACCACACCTTATATTTAATTTCTCATTATCTGGCCTTGAGGGTCAGGAGTAACCACACCTCTGACCAAATCTGTTGTTACTTAGATAAGACACCCAAGGCCTAGATAAAACATCCTACTGTAGCCATACTTTTGACCTTTAGGTCATATGACTTACCAAGCACAGTTTTTGAACTCTCTGACCTTTAGTCAAGATGGAGTGGAGCCATCGTTTTGGGCCCTGACACAAAATCTTGTTTTTCTATCTACTTATACATAATCGATTAAAGTTTAGTTTGTTTCTTGCATAAATGATAGGACAAATGTATAAACACAATATATGTGTAAACACAAATATCTTAGAAATATATTTCCTATCACAAATGTGTTGTTATAGATTGACTCTAAGGGAAAACAAATTATTTGGCCTGTCTCCCAAGAAGCTCAGCTTGAATTAAGTGGGAATAGGAGGCTTTTCTATGCTGAAGACACAAAACTCTTGACAGTTGTGTATGCACAGCAGTTTTCAGGCTCTGGGGCTTGGGTTGTAATGGACAAGCTGTAATCATGACATCGTCTAAAATGCCGTTGAATTTTTTAATCCTTCTGTGCTTCTGGATTGCAAAGTAGCCCAGAAGACTTTCTGCTTTGAATTTGGCTTTGGAAGGCTTCCAACACTGAGCAGGTGACACCATAAACATATCTCAGTCTTGCCATTTGGGGTGAGCAAGTGGCTGTCCATGGTGGCTCCTTCTGGATGTCAATTGATTTTAATGATTTCTTTCTTTCTCCCCGGCAGGATTTATGTGGGCATCATTCATGTGACACCCTGGGAATGGCAGACGTTGGAACCATATGTTCCCCGGAGCGCAGCTGTGCTGTGATTGAAGATGATGGCCTCCATGCGGCCTTCACTGTGGCTCACGAAATTGGTATGCAGCATCTTTTCTCTTCCCTCGCCAAATCAAACACTTGTAACAGCTGCAACAGGACCCAAAATACTTGGCAATTAATTCCAGACTTCTTCTGGTTCAGATGTACCATTGGGTATTACATTTGTTTACATTTGAACTTGCAGGGTTAACTAATTCGGGAAAAGGAAGGCAAAGTCAGCAGCACAGTAGATATTTCCTTTGACAATGTCATTCAAAAGTTAAGGAGAAACTTGCTCCTGCCTTTTTTCTTTTTCTCTTTTTAAGCATCCCTAAATGACTCCTAGACAGAATTTGTCACAGTCGCCAATGGAATGCAGAGGCGTCCCTTTCAGAAGTTGTTTATGACAGTGTTGACCCATGCAGAGATAATCAGTTTTCCCAGAAATCTAACATGTTTTGCCCCATGGCGAGTGATAATAGTAGAATCCCCTCAAAGAGAACCAGTAGCTTGGGGGAAATATTCCTGCCTCCTGCCCAACAGCAAGGCAGCTGGAACCAAGCTGACTGTCAGCATAGTTTACTTTATAATGTCACATTTTCAATTCGCTTAGTATACCAAGTACTTCTAAATCCTACAACTGTAAATTGAGGGCAGAGTAAATAATTGAACTTTGTCCCTGGGATAAGGAAAGCTAATCACTGACCTAGGAGACTGATGTACAAGAAACTAATTTAGTACATAGGACAAAATGTTATAATCAGATACTTGCAACTTCTTGTCTTCCCATAGGAATTTCCCCTCTGTGTCAAATCATTCTGTTATTAAACTCTTTGAGACTCTGCCTTCATTTCTGAAATAGAAGGGTGGTGCAGTCTTTTATATGGAATTACTTTGGAAACGAAATTGGGTGGAATGTAGATAGTGAGTAACACTTATATTCACACTCATTTACTTCCATTTTCTTAGCTAAATGTTTCATTCCCTTTCTTAATTTAGGCATAACCTCTTTACATCTTCATTTGTGGGATGAAGGAAACATTCGATCGTTATTACATCTAGATCTTTTCAATATTTCTCATTTATAGGATTTAGCTTGTTAAAGTTAAAGTCTTAACTTTTAAATGGAAATCAAAAATTTTACATCATATTCCTAGTAATCTGTATATTTTTACAAGGTGCTAATTCCTAACCACATTTCTTTTGGAGCAGAATAATGTCTAGTGAAAGGGACAATTTTGCAAATCCAAATGTGATAGCAGTTGAACAGAATTAAGTAGGCATTTCAACTATCAGATTTCAAGTATTGGTCCTGATATCAATTTACTGACAATCCCCTTTGCATCAAATATAAATCTTTGACGGAAAAGCCCTTGTGACAGTAACATTGATGTTAATCCTGTCCAAAACATTTTTGAGCATCTTTCACTTAAGCCAAAGTGCTGAGATGAAGCCCAGTCCCTGTCAGTTCGATGTAGAATGTTACTCCTCCAGGTCATTTAGACACCTTGATCATCTGTGTTGTGCCTATATGGTTAACCAATCATAAGCCACTATGAATGGCACATTCTTCACTTCATCTTAGCCAAAAGGCCGAGAAGCGATGAATGGCACATTCCTAAAGAAGGGTTACTGCTTCCTTCTGACCTCCTCTCCTGCAGAGTGACCACATTGTCAGGTTTTGCCACAAGAGAAATGCTGAGCTTTCTGCACAGTCTCTTCATTGCTTCTTTTGACTCTCATGCCACACCTCTTGGACTAGAGTGTCTAAGTCTAGCAAGGTCACATTCCCAGTCCTCCTAAATTCCTCACCAAGGACTCTGTCACATAGACTGATGAAGCAGGGGGAGATAAGGAGCCAGACACTGACAGGCAAAGCAAGACAGGCATAACTGCACACAAGAACAACATGAGAGCATAGTGAGTTACTATATGCAGAGCCAAACCTGTGTCTTTGCATATGAATACTCCTGGTGTCCCTTGAATTTCTAGGTTGAGTTATCTCTCTTTGATCAATTATAACTCTCTATGGTTCATGTTCCAATTAAATATTGACTGCTTAATTTTCCTTTCTGTATTGCAAATGGCCTAAAGAGATATTTAATGTCCAAAGGTTAAGGAATATGGATTTTATTCTTTACTGATTAAAAAAAAACTTCTATTAACTTCATTTTAATTGCTTTCTTATTTTATTTTAATTTTGCCTAAATATTATGATATGCTATAAAATATGAGTCTTAAAATTTCTAGAAATGATAATCTTACATAAGGTTTTATCTCTGTGGATGACCAGAGCCTCATCTCTCAGACATCTTAACTCTAACTCACTGATCTGTTTAGTGTTTATTTCCTAATTGTTACATGCTGGTTGGATTTTAATTCTACACTGTCCTTAGATATTTCTTTCCTTCTCTTTTATTATGTATTTGCCACTTTTTAGACTTGAAAATTATATACACAGTCTATGTGGTTATAAAAATAACATTTTGAAGCAGTGACTTTCTAGTATTTATAATCTGCTTGAATCTCATTCCAAAATGTGAAGTTTCCTTTATTCTAAACAAATACTGTCATGGTGTTACTGTACTCAAAACACAGTCTGGAAGGAAATATCCATGACTCTAACATAGATTATCTACTGTTTTTCTATAAGAAGTAAAGGAACAGATTTGATTAGGAATAGCTTCTATTAACTGACATAGGATACATAGAGTGTTAAAGGCTTTATTTTGCTGTATATTGTGGTCTCAATTATAGGGTCCAGTTCATTTTATGCATGAAGAAAACAAAGTGTCCTCCCTGCCCCATATTCTCCAGTTTATAAAAAAAAAAAAAACTCCTAAATTGAAATGTACATATAGGGTAAATTAAAGTGACGGTGGGTGTCATGGCACACTGGCAGGGCTAACACTGGAAAGGCTGGCACAGAGGATCATGAGCTCCAAGCTAGCCTGGGTTACATAGTGAGACACTGTCTCAAAAAGAAAAACAAAACTAGAGACAAAAAACAGAAAGCCTATGATGTTAAATTGCAGGTCATGGAACACAATGGATTAAATTATTAGCTCTGAAAAATTCTTCTTGCATGCTCTACACATTAGCTAGGACTCTCCTGTCACCCTGCTAACCCATATGATCTCCAAAGCAAATGAACAATGAAATGCAAAATGCCGAAGGTACATAGTCATCTGATGCTAGTGCAGGCTACAGACTTCTACAAGAGCAATGTCTATTAATGTGGACACGACCCATAGGCAGCTTTAAACTGCCTTCTGTTCTCTAGGCTGTGCATAGTAAATACTGACTCAATAGCTAGAGCATTTCAAAATGTTGCTTCAAATCATCCGTGTGCTCTGGGTGGAGGCAAGAATGTGTTTACAGCTATTTTAACAATCCAAATGAGAGCGGCAGGGAGTTTTCAAGTTAATGTAAGTTTACATTCTGAGTTTATATTTTTTAACTTGTCAAGCTTTTATTATAGACTTGTAATAATAAAGATTTCACCTGCTGCACATATGGCCATTAAAAATAATTGTTTTATTGATGTTGAGCCAGCTTCTAATATACAAACGGGAACAATGGGATTTTTTATTGAGATTAATGAAATCCATGATTTCCAAGCACACGAAAGGTTTGTGTTATAGTAGTTAATTACAAAATGCTAAGTGAATTCCTCCACTGAGAAAGACTGTAGTGTGCTTCCCAAGTTAGAACTTTAAAGGCGAGTTTAAAGAACAGGACCAAGCCTTCAGGCAGACTTAGGAAGTGGTTGAGACACACCAGGGGGCTGCCTGTGTTTGGCTGTGATTGGAGGCAGTTCGGGTTGTGCTGAGCAGTGTGCAACTCTGCCCCATGGATGATTAGATTAAACAAGTCTGTGTTTTGAAAAAGCCCTAAAACTTGGTAGACCAAAGGCAAGTCCACAGAATCAGACGTTCAATTGGCTAGGCAAGGGAGACGTGAAGCAAGAAGGAAGCTGGGACTCAACGTGTTATTTATCTTTGGACCTGTCACTTTAATCCACACAAACTCAGCATGTTTCCTGCCAAACTTGAATCAGGACCTCACCGTGTCTTTCTTGGACCGGGGATGAAAGATAGAAATAGGTATGGATTACATGTCTCAAGCACTGCAAGATTTGATGTTTATTATGACTTTAAAAATAAATTTTATCCCAATCCATGGTTCTCTAGGGAAGGCCCATTGATTTTTATTTATTTGCCACACAGGTTGACACCAACTAGCTGTCCATGACATTAAAAAGTAGACTGTAGTCAAAATGTGTGGTTTGTTTCTTTTTCTCAAATTAAGAAATTGTTCTCTCCTTCTCATCTCAGGCATTCGGTGATATTAAATTTATTACAAATTGTAAGTTAGAGAAAGAAATAGCTCCTCTGTAAAGTGCTTGCTTGAAAATACAATGACATGAGTTCAATACCCAGAATCCATATTAAAACAAAAAACAAAACCAGATATCATTGTACATGCTTGTAATCGTAGTGCTGGTGAGGTCGAGAGAGCTGTACCTCTGGCTCTTGCTAGCCAGTTGATCTAGGGCACTTAGAGCATTGCAGGTCAGTGACAGACAAGATATAAGAAAGAAAGAAAGAAAGAAAGAAAGAAAGAAAGAAAGAAAGAAAAGAAAAGAAAAGAAAAGAAAAGAAAAAGAAAAAAAAAACAACTTTAAGGTATATTGTGCCTGGGGAAAATCAGCCAAGATTCTCCTCTGATCTCTCACAGACATGGGTACACAGGCACACATACGCCAGCAAACACATGTACACACACAACACACACAAACCTGCACACACACCATGAGGCACCCAAAAGAAGAGGAAGCTAACATACTAAGAAATTTCTAGACCTGTCTAAGACCCATAACTAGAATACTCCAAGGGTCATATTCAAATGCAACTCATCTGGTTCCAGGGCTCAAGATTTTAATAGTACTGTATCATAGGATTGTAGAGATTATTTGGTAGGAAATTAGTTTAAAAGGAGAGGTCATCATAAGTGGGAAGATTTCATTTATTTTTCTCTTCCTAAATTACATACTCAAGACCACATTAACCATCTTTACTAGATTTTTTTTTTTTTTTTTTTTTTTTTAGAGGAATGTTATCACCTCTACAGAAAGGATTGTGTTAGGGAGAGTATGTCCCATAAGATTGTTGGAGGTCATGATTCCTCTCTGTGGTAGCTCTAGATTCTGTCCCCTGTGAGTTGTTGACTCACTTTTCAACCCCTGGCCAGACCTTCTTGCACCTCCAAAATCGCAGCTGGAAAATTAGGTAAATGAAAAGCATGACCTCATTAAGAAACAGTTGCCTGTTCTGAGCTGCACTTTCCCAAGTAAACACATTACAGTGCTTCTTGGGACATTTTTGTAGGATGTGGTGCTGTGTCCCCTTGACTATTGGTTAGTTTGGGATCAGGAGACAAGAACTTGAAATTCTGTTTAATTTGCAGACCAAAGTTTACCAAAACACTCCATTTCCTTCCTGAGGTACCTGAGTGGAATGCGAAGCTAACTGGAGGTTCCCTTGAACCTAATGTCTCTCGGCTGAGGCTGTGGCAGAGTTGGTGTAGCTTTTCTTGCATTCACGATGTCCTAAGTTCCTTCTCCAGTGCTAGACAAAGCAGGAGTGTGAGCACACACCTACAATCCAGTCTTCAGGTGGCAGAGGCATGAGGATCAGAAGTTCAATGTCATCATTAGCTATGGACCAAGTTTAATACGCCAGCCTAGATTAATTACAACCTGCCTTTAAAAAAACATGTCTGTCTTTCCCTGGGTACATATTTTTCTTACTCTAGATTCACTAGACTAGAAGGTGAGAACATCCTCAAATGTGTATTTGGAATATCAAAAATGAACACCATTGAGTAAGTTATGACCTACTTGCCAGTTTATAAAGAAGGTTATCAACAGAACTGCGCTAGTGAAGTTTTCTTTTTGTGTTTTGTGAGTCTGCTGATTAAAATGGCTCTGAATACACAAGATTTGGGTCTCTGCTGTGACCCCCTGAGTGCGAATGGCTGCTTCTGCACCCATCTTGTTCATTAGCTTCATTAGTTCACTAGTCCTATTTGACTAAGGGAGCTCCCTCAAAAACATTTTATCCTCCAAATTGCCTGGAATCCACATACTCTTTCATTCCTATATACTGACTCCTAAGGGAAAAACAAAAAACAAAAAACAAAAAACAAAAACCACATCTCCACAGCTCCAAGGTAAAGGATGGCCCTTTCTCCATTGGTCTGTGGATCCATGCCCTCTGACCTCTAACACCTCACCCCTGCACTGATTTCACTGCCTTCTTGCTGCAAAAAAAACACTCCTCAGAAAATACAGTGGGGTGAGAGCAACTAATGTAGGCTTTGTAGGCTTTGTGAACACTGTATCACTTCTGCAGATTCTTCCTGGGCTCTTTTGCCCTCTGGGCTGTGAATATCTAAGTCCCCCCTGGTGCTCATTTTAAACATCTTTGTGGTTATTTCCAAGCTAACTTCCTCTGAATGAACAGTTGTCTGAAGAATTAAAATCTATCCTTGTCAATCAGAAGTATCCACATTTGGTGTCGCCTTCACAGCTATTTGAAATCCATGATTGTCAGCTGTGGTGCTATAGTTTAAATCTCCTAGATTCTAATTGCAGTGTCCTACTGTGTCACCTGTTGTATAAGCTCCTCATGCCTCTGTCTGTAACTTATTCCATGTCTCAATGAGGCTGCTGGCAAATTTCAGACTGACATTAAATGTCTTCACACAACTGACTGGTGACACAGGTTTTAAACACACACTGTGTTTGCTGTTTGTGACCTTCGGTATGTGTGCGGGTTCTTCCCTCAAGAGCATCTGACACCCTCACATTGTTCCTCCCTTTCAATTCCTGCCCAACTCTGGAGGGGAACTCACATGGGTCTCTCACTGTACCTTGGTTCCAGCCACTTGGGAACTGGCTGCCTCTTTGTGGGGTGCTTAACTGTTCTTCTAGAGCCATGAGTCCTGCTGCCCTTGAGAGAACAGTCTCCCCAGGCAGCTTACAGGTTTTCTTCACAGAGGACTGAATATTTTTAAATGGCAATCGTCCAGCCAGCCCTCCAACAGTGTTTCTGTCTGATTGGAGGAAACTTACAAAATGCACATCTCTTTTAAAGTACAGCAGAGGTGGAGCTCTGATTCCTTAATGTTCAGATCGGCAATCTTTTCTGGTTGAACTTGTTTACATGTGTCTTTCGTGGCAATTAATTTAGATGGCTAAATTTAGAGATCATTAAAATCACAGTATGATATGAAAAACCATACTAAAGGATTTATAAAATCATGCTAAAATACTTTCAAAATAGACTGCTGGTTGTCACAATTTAAATTTTTAAGTTTATAGGAGTTACCACTATGTGTGGCAGAAACAAAAGCAAGACACTTTCTTCAAACCCTCAAAGTGAATTTGATGTTTGCCATACATATGATATTTTAAACCATAAATCCAAAATACACCCTCCAAATGAAGTGAAAATCCCTTGATGCAATAATAAAAATGCCTTTGGAAAATGCTATTTATATCAGTTTGGAAGGAAAACTGGCTTCATTAAGCATGTGTGACTATCTTAGAAAATATAATGCAAAAAGCACATATTGTTAAATTTAAACATGGATCTGACTAAATAGCCTGTTGCTGAGGTTTTATTGGGCACATTTCCCTCTTTCCCTTCTCATGACACAATGTAAATCCCTACTATGAAACTTCCAAGCAGGTTCCACTGCTAAAGTTTCTATCTTGGAAAAATCCAAGCACTTAAGGATGAATTTCTCAACATGTGCTGGATAGACTAAGTAATTTTCAGCAATCTTAATACATATTTTTTTCTGTGGATTGTGACACTCTTTAAAAAAATACCTGCACACCACTCACAAATTAGAGAGGCCCTTGCCAATCTTGCTTCCCGTGTTATTTGGGGCACACTTCACAAATGGTGGCAGGCACTCGTGCTACTGATCAAACCCATTATGAGTTGCAAAGGAGAGGTTTTTCAGGAAAAAAAAATCTTACTTGCCCAGTAAATTCTGTGAAGGCAATAACCAAACAAATAGCATAAAATATGAGGAGAATTAGAAGGTCAGCGAACCATAGTCACTCCAGTGCAAGCACAAGGGCAGTCAGCTGCGCAGTGAATAATTTTGTTATGAGGTGTTGGTGATTTAACAAGTTGGCCCCAAGTAGCTGGAATGTGGTGGGAAAAGTTTCATCTCTGCTGGGCTGTGTGGCTCTGCATTGACTGGACTCTTGATCAGATGGCTAGATTTCCTGCGTGTGCTGTGTAAGACTCTCAGGAAAAAGTGACCAGTCTGCTGTACCGTCTTATTCATGATCTTGGGAGTTTTACAGGATTTTGAAAACTTTGCTGAAATAGCTACCTACTTGAATTCTTTTTAAAAGCCTTTTGGATTTATAGAAGAATGTCAGTGTAGCCCTTAGGCTATGGAAAAAATGATATTGAGTAACAAGGAGCAATCTACTCAGATTATAATGATCTGAGTATACTGATGCACTCTGAGAATTGATACCTGGATAGATGAGAGAGCATGGGTCTAGGCTGGCACTATAGCAAGTATGTGAGCGTTAAGCATACACACATCCTGGCCAGGTAACTGGGAACCTTTACTTATCTTTCTGACATCTGGTTCCTCATCCATCTGTAGCACTCCAAAATGAGTATATTGATTTTCTTATATCCATAATACAATAGAGATGAGCATGTCTTAAAAATGGATTCTTTGTGAGACAAGTAACTATCTGCAATTCACTAAATTGCTATAATAAAGCATAAAGACGGATGGTGTTTCATGCAGCAAGAAGGCCTCTAAATGTTACTTTTTATTTGTTTTCTCTCTTTGGGTCATCTCAGAGAACTACTTTATGTACTGGACAAAGAAAACAGAAGCCATTGACATTCAAAAACCATCTACTGTTTGCTGCATGTATCGCATTATGTCAGATAAAAAGGTTTTAGCTATAGATGTGGGAAATGAACTTTGATCTTCTGGGGTTTGCAGTTGATCAGAGAAGGCAGAATGCTAACAATAAAAATCATATGTGGTGAGGGCTATGACATAACCCCATAGAAGTCTCCCAAACTCATGATTCTAAATGAGGTTTTACATGTCAGTTAGCATATGTGATCTAGACGCACTTTGGGATTATCTACTTCTTCATGTATGTTTTCAATTTCCATCCAAATGTTCACCCAGAGCAACTACTTCATAACACCATACAACTTTCACATGCCAGGAGTGTCAGTCTGGATGTGCAGACTGTTAAACCCATCATTGATTAGGTGCCAAAACGGGGAGAGGGAGGGGGGGCAGATAACTCCTAGTCAGGCAGAAATAGAAATTCAGCAGCATCTGCAATTGGCAATTCCCTTCTTCCTTATGTCTTTTGCACTCTCTCTTCTTATTCCTAGGACATCTACTTGGCCTCTCCCATGACGATTCCAAATTCTGTGAAGAGAACTTTGGTTCCACAGAGGACAAGCGTTTAATGTCTTCAATCCTCACCAGCATCGATGCATCCAAGCCATGGTCCAAATGCACTTCAGCCACCATTACAGAATTCCTGGATGATGGTCATGGTATGTAGCTTTAAGGATGACATAGACTCACAAAGACAAGTTCAGATTTTTGCATCATGATGGCCTCGTGATGCTCCAGTCATCCAGTGAGACAATAGTTGCCTGGACAGTGTCAGAAAAGAAGCAAGCAAATTGATTGTCTCTTAGCATGCAATGCCAGCATCCTTGGTGGCATTACAGCTATGGTAATTTTGCTGTTGATTTAAAAAGTTCAAAGGAAAACAGTGTGGGAGACCACACAGAATGCCTAGCTGTGGGTTCCCTGAAAGCCTGGCTTTTATTTCCTCTTTCACCAGTAAGTTCCTGTGAGAACATTGGCTGACATCTAGGTTTGCATGATATTAATGTATCTCACAATTATTTGTTGCATGTCTATTATAGCAGTTTGGTTAAGTTGTAGGACATAATTCTACTGGATTCTCTTTATAGCAACATTAAACCAGGAAAGGAAGCTGTCTAAATATTCATTGACTAGAAAAATTTGATTACATCCTGACAGCAGATTCTCCTGGAAATGGAATAAAAACTACAGAACAAAAATAGCAAAGCCATGGTGGGAAAAGACTTTAAGAACTTCAAAGGAAAATTGCTGGCTTTGTCCTTTACAGGCAGTTCAAGAGCATAACATACTTTATTAAACTCTGTAAGACTAGGATTAGTGCTATAAGCCATATGAAAGTCCAGAGGAAGTCACAATTTCTAGAAATAATAAATCCTACTCCCTAAGTAGTCTTCGAAACAAGCTGTTGCAAATTTCCTCTCGTCTTTTCGTCTTTTACTCTTTTAACATCGTAGAAATGTGGCAAGCTGGACACGCACAGTTGGAAGGAATCCTTGAGAGCATATACTTCAACTTTCTCATCTTTCAGAAAAGGATGTGTTCTGTCTTTCTGCTCTCTTAAAAGATGTCTCTTTCTCAAACAGGTGGCTAAGGTTTGGAGTTTGAAGACAGTAATTTCCATAAATAATCTAGTGAGTTGAGTTTTTGTTCAAAGTAAGGTCAAGGGAATCTATGATTACCATCTTTACCCTGTGTTTCCAAAGGGTTTGATTCTCAATGTGTTAGTCATTTTGAACTTCAACTAAATAGCGCCAAAATAATCAATAAATTAAATGAATTTCAAACACAGGGATGTTTCCTACACAGTGCAGTTTTGTGCTGTGTAGCCAAAATATGTTCATCTTACTTCATGTTTCCCTATATTAGTGCTGAACTGGTAAAGCTCTTGTGGATGCTAGAATTTGCATTTCTTAATCTTAAATGTAATCTAGTTCCAGCCTTGCTTCCAAATTCTCCATATAGCAGCATGGTAGGGCAAACCTGTGTACCTGGCATTCTGCAGCCTGAAGCAAGAGGATTGTGAGGTCCAGGGAAATCTTAGATGTAGAGCAAAGCCATGCCACAAAAAATAAACAATTGTTTTTAGCAATACCAAATAAATACCCTCAAGAGGAGAAAACACACCCCATGGTTTAAAGACTTAGAAACATTACTCAGACCCATCTATCTTTCCCTTAGGCTAAAATAAAATGGGGCTTCTCTTTAGATTGGTTATCATGCTGGCCAAATCCTGAAGTGGATGCTTCTGTAATCATCTTACTTTCAATGCTGAGCAAGTCACTGCTTGAGAAAGTCTTTCTCCAGTAGAATCTTGATTCTTTACACTTCATGCTACCCTTACTGTTTCATCTTTTAAGAAATATCATGAATATTTTACTTTAAAATTATATATTACACATTCCAAAAGGCTGAGCTCAACGCTGGGTCTTTAAATGAATGGATCAAGTTGTTAAGATGGCAAAACAAGCCGGTTTTTCACCCCAATGTATGCATTAGATCAGTCGCAAAGCTGTGTGGAATTGCTTCCTTTGGCTGTAATTTTAGAAGGGTTCCTTTATTTCATGACTGTGGAACTCAAGGTCTTACTTTCAGTACAATAACTATGCTTCCAGCACTTCTTTAGCTTTTAACAGTATTTCTATATTTTAAAAAGTATATCATCTGCTTGGTGTGTTTTTTTTTTAATTTCCACCAAATTTCCATCCTTTTGCATCAGTTTCTGTTCAAAAGAACTTCTGATAGAGACCAGCTAAGAACACAGTCATAGTAGAAATGGGTCATATTCATTTGCACTAAAAGATTGTCTAAGTCTCCCAGATGTGGATTAGATAAACAAAGGAATTGTCAGAATTCTTTGGACAAGGAAATATTTACTTACTTAATCAAATCTAGATACTTCCATTTTTGAGTGTGTTGATTTCTGTTAGGTGGGTTTTCATTTCAACCAGAAATGAAAAATTATATGTTTTCAATTTCTTATAATGATGAAGGCAATTTCAGAATAAGGAAAAATAAAGAAAGGTGGTGTGCAGTGGGCCCTAAGACATGGCTCCTGTCAAAAGATCACATGTAGATACAGTATTCCAGCAGTGGCTCCCTAGCTCCTTTACTTAAACAAGGATTCAATAGCCTTATCATTTTGACTTTAAAATACCTACAGGTCAGTTTAAGTGAAAGGATGGTAACAGAAGCTGGAAAGCCCATTCTTTAGATGATTGGAGTGCTGACATTTGAAGTACAAACTTAAGGAATCAAGGAAAAACCCAAAGCCCCAAATCATTTAAAAACAAGAGCAGAGAGACACATTGGTTCAAAGTCTAACAGATTCCATCACACCACAGCATACCACTTTTTTCTTTTTACTTTCTTCATAGAAAACCAGTGAAGTAACCACTCAAAAAACTTGTGGTCAGGATCTAATGTTCTAGGCCACTAAAACTTTTTAGCAACACCGTACTCACGGGCATGGCGAAGACTTCACACAGATAAACCAAGGGCAAGTGAGCACATTTGACAATAAGGAGGTAACAAAAATCAGTAAACTGCAGAGCTAAAACCAACCAACCAACAAGCAAACAAAAAATGTGTAGTAACCTGGTCCCATTTTCCTAAACATCAACAATATGACATTCATCATGCTAGTCTCACTCCTGGCGAGACTTGTAGACATTGGTCAGATGCAGCACTTCATACAGAGGTAAGATGGACTTTCAGTTACTTAGGGATGTTAAATTGAGACACTCAGATAAAGGCAACAAGACATGCCACGTTTAAGCAGGCACTGTCACAAAATGTGTCCAGTGTTTTGATGGCAACTGAAGAGCACATGATCTGGAAAATACGTGCTTGGTGTGACATCGCATCCTTCCTGCTCGCACCTTCAGGAGTGCTGAAGCAAAGAGAAACTAGAGTAAAATTAAACTCAAAGCATTTGATTTGTTTTTAACATTATTAGCCATAAGTAGCTGCACATTTGTAGCACTCTACCCCTGCCAGATTTAAATTCATTAGTACTGAGTGCTTCCTGACTTAGGTCCAAGGAGAAATGTGCAGTAGTTTGGTTATGACTGGGAAGCCAAAGTGCACACTCTAAAGTAACTGTATCTGGAGACTTGTGATCCGGAACAGGAGTAGCCTTGCCTCGTGGGACACCACCCCCCCACCCCCGGCCAAGGGCTTTGGAGAAATGTTGCAGTGTTTATACAAGTTAGCTGAACTCAAGCTGGCTAGGAGTGCAAGCCTTGGAAGTAGGGATAAGCACAGACAGAGAAATTGTGCAAGGAAGGCAGCTTATTGAATTTCCTTTACCAAAGACTTCCTAACCTTGAGGGAGGCCCAAGGAGATAGATTTTTTTGCTACTTCCAGAAGTCTTCTGCCAGACAATGAGAAAGACCAAGTGGTTACAGCTCAAGAAAACCAGCAATGTGAGCTGACAGAGGAAAAGTGTATGGATGGCTATCGAGATTACCTCATCGTTTATTTAAAGAACTAAAGCTATGGCCGCTCAATGAGCACAGTACTTTTGACAGAAAATAGTAATGGAAAGCTATATGCCTGGATTCTTTGTCAATTTCCAGCTTCAGGAATAGCAATAAAGACAGAAAGCCAGCTATTGAGGTGAAATTGAAAATCTTGAAGTATACTATGGCTATATCTTGATTTTTTCACAAAATAATGTGGTTTTTTGAACATATGAGCAAATAAGACATACTCTAAGGCTGTGGTGAGCTGCAACTTAAAAACTTTGTATCAACGAGTGTCATACAGAATGGTTAACCTCACCCCCTCACTGGTATCCATGACGATGAGCATATGATACGTCCCCCAGATGCAGGCCCTAGAGTCACTTTCAGTCAACATCATCTGTTCCTTTTGCAATGTTCTTCTTCCTTTATCACCAGACCCAAAATGGTTCCTCAGAAAGTAAGAAAATGCACTTCATCCAACAGCCTCAGAGAAGGCATGCAAAGACTAGACGCTGAAGCTAGAAACAATAGAGTGGAGAGCAGAGAATTTTGTGAGGTCTCAGACGCTTTATCAGGATCATTCGTTGAGTTTTCCAACCTGCAGGTATTTGGATTCAATCTTATACCTTCGTGCCAGAAGAGAAGATGGAAATAACTGCAGTATTAAAAATAGGAAAAGATGAAATCATTAAAAAAAAAAACCTTAGTCGCATAATTTCTACTTATCATTAGCAAGGAAAACAGCCCTAAACATCTGATCCTTTTAGGTTCTATTTCACGGAGGCAAGCTGGACCTTCCTTTATTTACTGGTGGGCTACAGAGCCCAAGGAGAAACAGCCATTCTTTCATTTACTCATTTCAGATGACTCTGTTTTTTAGTCATTGGCCTTATTTCATATTTTTAACCCTGGATGCATGGGAAAGCATGTATGCTATGCATGCATGCCTGCTGACCTTCCATTTTCTATGCACCAAATATGTCAGTAGAAGAAAGGAAGGAGAGAAATGGAGAGAAGGAGGAGGAGAGGAAGGCACAACTGGGCAGTCTCGAACAGAACAGCCCAGGTAGAATTTCAGACTATATAAACTTTTTAAACAGGAAGTTGTTATGAAGGAGTGACCAAAACTAAGAATAGAACAGATTAAGAAAAAGTCAATAGCCAGATGTTGGTGACACACACTTTTAATCCCAGCACTGGGGAGACAGAGGCAGGCGGATCTCTGTGAGTTTGAGGCCAGCCTGGTCTACAGAGCTAGTTCCAGGACAGCCTCCAAAGCAATACAGAGAAATAGTCTCAATAAACAAAAAAAAAAAAGAAGAAAAGAAAAAGTCAACAGTCAGTTGATTCCAATAAAGGCCAAAATTAAAATGTTAGAAGAATGGTAGTTTCTTAGTTTCAGTCTACATCCAAACCATATACTCTTTTAAAAGTGGAAGACACAGATTGGATAATCCATTATTACATCATTCTTAAATACAGTGCACTGTGAGTTTCATAGTCAGACACTGTAATGACTTGTCATTTTCTCGAATAAGGTTTCCATATCGTAGAGATGTCTGTACTATTTTTCTGTTACAAAAGGAAATCATCAAATATAAAACAAAGTGACTAAAGCACATGCTATTGAGTAAGCAGAAACGAAAGCAGAGCAAATCTCCCTTGAAAAAATTAGTAAGTTAATGTCAATCATTTGATGAAGGAAAACATTTTATTTTAAACAAGAAAATGACACTTTCATGTGACCTCTAAAAAAAGTTATTTTAATTGTACTGAGTTAAGAATTGTAAAGACCTGTTTCATCTTGAAGTGTCCTTAGCAAAACTCAGAATCTACATTCCTCCTCTACATATCATCTACATATCATCATCTCCTGTGATAGGGTGGCTATCAGTGACTGACTACATATCCATCGTGAGATGATCACTTATTCTGGTTCATTATGAGGAAGGTAGAGCCATGTCCTGTTTGTCTATACATGGCTGAGTCTCTCCAGCCTTGTAATAACTTGTTACACAGTCTATGGTCTGCACTCTTTAGGGAGAAAAAAAGCAAGCAAACATTGAATCCAACACTTTTGAAGACCTGGAAAGTGTTCTTGCTGACTCTGAGATCTGTTCAGTTGTCCTAACATCAGCATCTGCTAAGGCTTCTCTGATTCACACAGCAGCTGTTTCATGGAGCAATAAGATGACATTTCCCCAAGAGTTCTGAAACGCCTCTCTTTGTCAGTCCTATTAAGAACACTTAGTGGGGTTTTACTATCGTTCCTTCCTATTGACTTGATGGTCATGTTTTCCTTTTGACTTGATGTTTTTCTCCCTAAGTTCTCTTTGGCGAGATCCTCATTTCTAATGCTTTTTCTGGCTGGCCTTAAAGAGCTTTACCTCTTCAAATGCTCTGGCTTGCTGAGATTGGAACTCTGCTATTTATTCATTTTCATATAATGCCTCTATCACAGATGGACAAATAGTGTGCAGGGCTCTCTTTGTAGAAACCTGAGTGCAGTTGTGAAAATGTTTTCAGTACACTTAAAATATGCTGAATAGTTACTTTGTCCATGTAAACAAGGATTTGAATATGGGAGAGTTTGTGTTGGATAAAAGGCACTGACTTTCAGTTCAGCTGAACATAAAACCAACTATCATTGTTTCATCTACTTCTGTTCTCTTTTTAACTTTTCAAAGCTAATTCTACCTTTACAACACATAGTGAAAAAAGGAAACATCTCACAGATCCCAAACATAAATTACAGAGAGGTTGATTAACTTGGCTGACAGCACACAAGCATGGGGCATTTCATCAAGATTAGATTTTAGCCAAGCTCTTTCTAGCATTGGGCACAATAACAACCATTTAAAGGTTACCAACATGTGTCAGCCCCTAGGAAGAAAGTAAGGCATCTTTCTATATGCTTAGCAGAGACAACATGGTACTCCAGGAGGATGGCAGCCCCTGAGCACAAAGCCCTAATAACTAGGTAACATTGCATAAGAAATTGAGAATCTATATTTCTTGTTTTTAAGATGAATAAAAAGAGTAAGTCGACCTCCTGGGATTTTCTTTAGAAATAAATAAGTTGTGAATGTGTAACAAATATTAGCTGTTATTGCTGTTATAATCAGTGTGTGACTTTTATAGTCAGGTAAGAAAAATAATAAAAACACAGAAGCCAGTGGGCATCTGAGCCTGAGTATATGGTAAAGAAAAGGAGTGCTTTCAGCTCACTGGGCCTGAGTTCTTAGGGAAGCATTTTGAGTTAAAGGGGGATGCCCAGATTTTGTGTATTCTCCATAGCATCCCATTTGCTTGGCCCCACTCTAAGATTCCAGCTGCTTTGGGCTCCCACTCTCAATACCCGACAAACCCATGATAAACAGACTTAATGGCAAAGCAAAGGTAAAGATGAAGACTTTTCTGATCCAACTTACCAAAGATTCTTGCTTTTTTTTTTCTCATCACTACTTTAATTCCATGGATCTTGAAAGTCTTTTATTACAAATTTTACAAGTCTGTGAGAAATACTTAATTTAGTTTCTTTACCTTTACTGGGACAAATTGAGGAGCAGAATAGCATTGTCCTGTCTTGTTTTGTTTTTGTTTGTTGTTTTTTGTTTTCTTTGGTTGATTTTTTTTTTGTCTTTTTTTTTTTGTATTCTTGACACCTCATGTACCTAGGCCATCACTGGTATTCAATAAGCACTTATTCAATGAGTGAAATCTTGAATGATGACCTCTGCTGTCGCTGAGTCTTATTAGAGGCAAGGAGATCTGCATGTGGGGAAGGGGTGATTTAGAACTGATGAGTGGACTGTGTCATCACCAAGGCATTGCTCAGAGCTGTGAATGGCACTGTTACTATGACATTCATGTTAGAGTCCCTGCAAGCCCCTCCTCATTTCCTCTGTGACTGTTTTCACAACTCAATATTACAAACCACTCAGATAGGACAGTAGCACTGGCAGCCTCAACTCCATCATTATATCCACTCCAAGAACTCATCATTCTAAGAGAATTCTAGAGTCCAAAGAGTCTGCCCTATTCCCTGCACTCCAAGAACACCACTCTGCAGACTTGTAGGTATGTCCTATTTTGGCACCTCCCAGAAGAATTAATTTTTAGGGCCCTGATCATAATTATTTGGAACCTAAACCCAGGTTGATTCTGAATCTTGATTACTCTCTTAGGTAACTGCTTGCTAGACCTACCACGGAAGCAGATTCTGGGTCCTGAGGAACTCCCGGGACAGACCTACGATGCCACCCAGCAGTGCAACTTGACATTTGGGCCTGAATACACTGTGTGCCCTGGCATGGATGTCTGTGCCCGGCTGTGGTGTGCCGTGGTGCGCCAAGGCCAAATGGTGTGTCTGACCAAGAAACTCCCTGCAGTGGAGGGGACGCCCTGTGGGAAGGGCAGAATCTGCCTGCAGGGCAAATGTGTGGACAAAACTAAGAAAAAATATTACTCAGTAAGTGGTTTTCTTGTCAACTAAAGCCTCAAGACCCAACACAGGAAGTGTTTTTCTGGATATGTATGGTCATTGTCACCAGAGGGCTTCATTTCCTGACTAAAAGGGTTTTTCTTCAATCATTTATCCAAACTTCATCTCCCACCCACAGCAGCTCTCCCAATAACCAAATACAGGAAAACATGCTGCTAACAGGGATTTCTTGACAAATTAAAGCGTTTCACAAATAAACCCAGACGGACACGCAAAGGAGAGCCTCTGTGGCACATTTTCGAAGTTCTCTCTTAAAATCCTCCTACTAAAGTTATCAGAACTTGTCTACCAAATTTCATGCAGAAATGGTGGCAGACACCGTTGATCACATCTTTTAAAGTCCCAAATGGTCACTCTTTCCTAACAGAAAATTCATGTAATGTTAGGAGCTATGGTACCCCAGAGGCTGCCACCAAGACACACATACACAATGCAATACACAGTCTACATTGCCTGAGTCTTGTCACACAACCTGACACAGGCAACCAGGCGCTTGTATTTCTTAGTCAAAATAGCTCATGTTATAACACCTGTTATAGTCTCTCAAATTCCTCCTACAGTTTCTCCATGGGAAGAAACCTAGAGTTTGATACCTAGGGTCATCTTTCCATGTGGAAGGTGGGCACATAGGTTGGAGGTGCCCTTCATTTTCTGTCACATATAATTAGGAATGTAGCCAAGGCCAGCTCAAATGAATTCATGTATGAGGTAGAATCTACATAGAATGTGTGATGACAACAAAGGGACCAAAGTATTATTAGGACTAATTAGAAGGAAAGAAATGGAAATGACCAACATCTTACAAGGCCATCAGAATGACGTGCTTCATTGTTGGTCCAACATGAAAGTAAAAACCAAGTTAACAGGGATCTGTGATTGTAAAACAAGGGTTTTGCAGTATCAGAAGGCAAGATATGAAATGATGGGAGAAAACAGGATGTAATCCCTGCCATGTGCTCATTATTTAGGGTGACACTTTTGATCATGTACTGCTAGAAACAAGGTCCTGAAGCAGGTGGCTTGCTTATTACTGGAAGTGGGCAGGCACCCTCTAATTGGAGCTTAAGTTTCCACTGGGATGATGTGTAAGTGACTACAATGTACATGTGGGAAATTTTTCCCACCAGAGTTAAAAGTTCTTCTGCTGTCTATTTCAGACATCAAGCCATGGAAACTGGGGATCCTGGGGCCCCTGGGGCCAGTGTTCTCGCTCATGTGGGGGAGGAGTACAGTTTGCCTACCGCCATTGCAATAACCCTGCACCTCGAAACAGTGGCCGCTACTGCACAGGAAAGAGGGCCATATACCGTTCCTGCAGTGTCACGCCCTGTCCACCTAATGGTATGATGCTCCCAGATGTCAGTAAGAATATGTGTGTCACGTGCACTCCCTATTTTATTAGAAATAAACAAGGCTGGAGAAGTAGCATTAATCTCATAGTGGATAGATCCACTAATGTGTAAATTAGCAACAAACATGGGAGTGATTTTTAAATTATCACAGACAACAGTGTCTCCAAGGGATTGGGAGAAAGCACTTGTTTTTGCCTGTTTATACCAAGGAACTTCAAACATTGATGCATAAAGAGGTCTTCAATACAGAAATCATTAGCATTTTCTCTTAAAGCTGATAAAGGGTATGAATGTTACGTGTTTTGTTTTCTAGGTAAATCTTTTCGTCATGAACAGTGTGAGGCCAAAAATGGCTACCAGTCTGATGCAAAAGGAATCAAAACTTTTGTGGAATGGGTCCCCAAATACGCAGGTGTCCTACCAGGAGATGTGTGTAAGCTTACCTGCAGAGCTAAGGGCACTGGCTACTATGTGGTCTTTTCTCCAAAGGTAACTACCTCTCTGTGCCCAGAACAGTAGGCATTATGGGTAGAAATTATTTCATAGAATTAAGTCTACAAATGTCAAATGGACACAGTCATTATTTGCAGGACTATTAGATTTGAAAGTGTTTCATTTTCAACTCTATAATTTCTGTATTTTCAAACTTTATACAATGGACTAAAAACATTTTAACAGAACAAGTATATGCTTTAAAATGATTTTTGAAAAGCATGGTTTTCCCATTATCAGGGAAAATAAATTATGATACTAATTTCAAAATAATCTGTTAAAAAAATGCACTTTCCAGGCAAATATAAGAGGACTATTGGGAAGAAAGATTTCCATTTTCCAGCTATTTACTTAAGAATGAATTCAGTCTTTCTTTTTTGTTTTGTTTTGTCTTGTTTTGTTTGTTTGTTTTTGTTTTTCTAGACAGGGTTTCTCTGTGTAGCTTTGGAGCCTATACTGGCACTCACTCTGTAGACCAGGCTGGCCTGGAACTCAAAGAGAGCTGCTTGCTTCTGCCTCCCAAGTGTTGGGATTAAAGGCATGCACCACTAACACCCGGCCATGAATTCAATCTTTAAGATAGGTTTGAAAGTCATTCTTTCTGACCCAAGATTCAGAATAAATCTTAGACCCTCACCATGAAGCAAAGTTCTTCTAGTCACTTAAATTATCAGACACATACATGGTCATTCCTTAATTTCCTGAATATACTGAAGGGATTTTTCATTATTTTCTGTATCATGCAGCAATTTACAAACATCAGTTATCAAATTTTCAAACATATGATGCATTTAAAACACCCCTGAAAACAGCCTTCTGTTGTATCTGTAGACCTATTTCTCTACATCATATACCACACTAGTCAGCAAATGTCCAATTCATGTAGATGTTAATATATCTATTTACTTATGAAGTATTACATTTCCTTAAAACATTACATAGAAATAAAAACTAAAATCTAGAAATATAACTGGGAAGAGAATTATTAACACTATAGAGACCTTCTACTTCTCTTTAAAAATAAACACACACAGTCACATGTCTGAAAGTCATATGCACACAAATTTAAAATGCATATACATATATATGAGTAATATATATTTATGAATATGTATGGACATGAAAACCCCACAGTTTCTGTACATGCTGTGTTTAAATTGCTTTGAAACAACAAGTTATACTATTTCCTTTATTCAGAACTAAGTATTCACTCTATCTCCAAACCTTTTGAAAACACTCCTCCCCAGGTTCTGTTTCCTACACAAATCTGTCTTCACTTTGATACCTGATGGTTCAACAAACAATGAGCATGACAGGGTTTTTAAAATGAGCCTAAATTTTCAAATTTGCTGCTAAACTAACAGCTACACAACAAATCTTTGTATTCTTAAGTCTGCTAATGTTCAAACCTCTACAGGAGTGATAGTCTCCCATGAAGTTAAAAAATTCTTTTCATTAATGTAAAAAGCCAAGATGATACAGAGGAACTGTGTTATGAATACAGAAGTGGAGATTAGTGACTTAGATCACCAAACATATCATATAGTAGGAAATTACCAATACGGAGTCAGGTAGAAATATAAGGGTATTTAATAGGGAAAAGCCTTACTTACAGAGCGACCTAGCCAGCCGGCGTGGCCGCAGTCTGTACAGCAAGTACCAAAGAGAGCCCGAAACGGCAAACGCAGTCACACTACGGTCACTCTGACCACGCCCTCACAAGCCTGGTCAGGTACACCTGTACCCAGCCCCTAAGAAGGCGTGGCTACAGTTTCCCCTACAATATCAGGCAAGAAGTTCAAGAAAGTGCCTAACCAAATATTCTTGATAAAAAATATATTATGTGGGGTTTTTTTCACTTAGAAATTCCTGGAAGCTGAATGATTGATTGCTTTTAGATGGTTTCGTTTTTAAGACTTATTTTAGTTTTTAATTGTGTTTGTTGGTATGTGTGCATGAGAGTAGGTGCCTGGGGAGACCAACTCATTGGGTGCCCCTGGAGCTGTAGTTACATGTGCTGTGAACCACCTGTCATGGGTCTAGAAACTGAACTCGTCTTCTGCAAGAGCAGTATATGTTCTTAACCTCACAGCCATATCTAGCTTATTTTTGAAGGTATAACTTATTGCAGCAGAAAATTCAGAAATTACAACTTTCTCTTTAAGTAAAAGAACCAAAACCCAGAGCCCCAATAGCCCTGTTCCTGATATCTTTGTCATATACAGGTTACAGATGGGACTGAGTGTCGGCCATACAGCAACTCTGTGTGTGTCCGAGGAAGGTGCGTGAGAACTGGCTGTGATGGCATCATTGGCTCAAAGCTGCAATATGACAAGTGTGGAGTATGTGGCGGGGACAACTCCAGTTGTACAAAGGTTATTGGAACCTTCAATAAAAAAAGGTAACATGGCAGCAGCAACTTTGCCTCATGTGAATTAAGCAAGGTTCTAGACTCCCGTGAAGCTGATTTAGGAAACTAGCATTAGCTCATCAGCTCTTCATAGGAGTAGGTATAGTGGCTGCAGCGCTGCTCTATGCATATGAGAAGGGAGAGGAGAAGACCTGCATAGGTCTCTATGGCTGGCAGAAACTTTAAATGCCTCAGGAAGCAGACAAGCTACCAGAGCCATGGATCCAAGATCTTAGAATGAGAGAGCAGGAAGAAAAAGGGGACACTGCCGCATAAAGTGGTACCCAACAATATGTCATACCTAAAGCCTCATTTAGAAGGGATGAATGGCTCCATCCTTAGCTATCTTTATATTTTAAGTGTTATTTTATGTGTATGGGTGATTTGTCTGTGCACCACTTATAAACCTGGCACTGGAGAGGGCCAGAAGAGAGCATTTGGTCTGGAAATTGAAGGTACAGGAAGTTGTGAGCACCATGTAGGTACTAGGAACCAAGTCCTCTAAGAGTATCCAAGGTGCTCTTTTAACCACTGAGTCATCCTTCAGCACTTTTATGATAGTTCTAATTTATTCTTTGAATATTTCATACGTGCATACAGTGCATTCTGGTCACGCCTACATCCACCCCTCCAAATTCCACCTGGCGTATCAGCTTCCAGGCTTCACTTTTCCTCCTCCATCCCATCCTCCATTGCTTCCACGGATTGGTTGATTTTTTTGTTTTGTTTTGTTTTGGTTTTTGTTTGCTTTTTGAGGCATGGCCTTGCTATTGAACATCTGGTCATCCTCTTGCCTCTGTGCTGGTATTCCAGGTGTAAGTCACCATTCCTGACTCCTTTTGCTGTTTTTATAACAAACGAATTCTAACTGGACAGTGTGTTTTTCTTCAGAAAAACATTACAATGCTCCCTGCAAAATGTAAGTTAATTGAGGTGCTGTGGCAACAAGCCCATTTTACAGGGAATGATCTGGTTTCTGTCCATTCCACAAGGACAGACACACACACACACACACACACACACACACACACACACACACACACACACACACACACAGAGAGAGAGAGAGAGAGAGAGAGAGAGAGAGAGAGAGAGAGAGAGAGAGAGAGAGAGAGAGAGAGCAATGTCTCCGGATTCCACACTTTTGTTCTAAACACGAGACTATAAATTACAGTGCCTGGACTCAAATAGAACAGAGCTATCAGAAAGATGCCTGACTTAGGTAAAAGTTCTGACAGAATGCAGGGTTATCTGTTCTTTACAAAACCTCTCCTGTGCTGTGTATATAGGTGGAGTGTGCCTGCATGCCAACATGAGTGTTTGGCTTCCTTTAGTTTGTCAAAAATCTGCAAACCACATCAACAAGAGTTCATTAAAAGTACTAAATATCACAGTAACTTGAAAAACAACAAATTATGTTTGCTATGATGCTACAATGCATGGCCCAAGAATTTTTGTGACTATTAAGTATATGTCATTAATCTTGCTAAATAATGAATTCTGACAAATTTGACTATATTGGACCATCTATACCAACCATACAGGTCCAGGAATATTTTGTACCTTTCCACATTTCAAATATGTAGAACAACTTACAGATTAGTACCTCAAATTTTACATTACAGATGAAGAAACTAAAACTTGGAAACTTAAAACTGTAACTGAGGTCATAGGCGTGTGAAACATTTTGTGATATAAGGAAAGGAAGAGAGAGAGGCAGAAAGATGGAAAGGAAAGAAGGAAAGAGAATGGAGGGAAAAGAAGGAAAGTAGAAAATGAATAGAAAAAGAGAGAAGGAAGACGATGATGACACAGATAAATAATATGACTTTGATGAATCTAATTGTTACGGCAATACCTCACAACAGTGTATCCTATGCGTTCTTCCACATAAAATAAAAAATCTGACAAACGAACTGGCTTTTAAGCCCATCATTGACAAGGAAGAGCTCTGTAATAAAGGCATTTAAAGTTTTTTCTTTAGTGTAAAATGTGGCATCCTCTCCAATAGTCATTCTGACCTTGAAGCCCTTGTAGGATTATGTATCATCTATCAATATTAGACACTACAAAAATGAGGAATGAGATCTTATCCATTATGTTACATAGTTTTGAACATAAAGATAATGAATCCGGAAAGACAGAATCAGGGATACTCCATGCAACTCTGCGCTCCCCAAGCCTCAGAGATTCTGACACCTGTGTGAGATGAGTACTGTAGATCACACCCCTGGTAGACATGAGACTTCCTTTGCGAATGAACCTCCCTCTTCAAGTCAGGGATTGTGAACTTGGATTTTTTATGTATAATCTTGAACCTTCAGTAAGAATTAGAAATTACACAATTTAATTTCACAACAGCCAGTCAATCTGCATATACATATCTGCTGTTTTTTAAATAACTAGGAAACATTTAAAGTCATTTTAAGTAATAACATACCTTTCAGCCTTATTATGGTCTCTTATAAAAGCAAATATTTTGTAAAAAGATGAGCCCTTCTTATTGGTATAGTCTTCTGGTACTGAATTAGCATGTGGGCTAGAGTTCAGCAAGGTTTGTGGATATTAGAGAGGCTCTGTGTTCCTTTGTAAACAGATGCTTTATCTTTCAAGACCTGCTTATGTTTCACCCAATAAAACACCTCATTCAATTTATCATAATATTGGATGAAGACTAAACATTCAGAAAAAAATCATAAGGCATTAAAATCATTTTTTCTTAGAATAATAGTAAGTACTTATGATCTAGCAACAAAATTTTACCATACATTTACCTTTTTGCCCCATAAAATCTAGCTTCTAGAGGCAGAGCCTACATTCCACAAATAAATAAACCTTGCTATTAGAGAAGTCAGCATATTGAAGTAATATGAATTTGTCTAAGAATGGCTCCTATAGCCCACCTTGAAAGACAAAGATTTACCTGTCTGGGGCACAATATTAGGGCTTACCAATACCTGCTGGTGAGTTCAATTTCAGAAACATTAAGTATTTCTATCAGATTGATTAAGGGTAGATGTGTCCATTTATAGTCACATTTAGTCTACCTTGTACCTAACCAAAAAAAAAAAAAACAAAAATCTTTGTAACTATGCTACAAATTGATGAAGATGCAATGGTTGTACGGATCTCTAAATCTACTTTTAAAATAATTGCTAGCATCATCCTAATTTTGAATCTCAATAAAAACAGATATAATGCAATATTATACTGCACTTTTATTTTGTGCTATAAAAAAGCTTAAAGCCAGTTCAAACTTAAGCTCTTAAATACACTAGAAGTTTATGTTACGACGAGGGACAACTTTCAGAAATTTACTGTTTGTTTGTCCATATCTAGGCATGTACTAATTCTGTCCCATTGCTCCTTTCTTTTCTTCACCTCACATGTGGACATTCTTGCCTACAGTAAGGGCTACACAGATGTTGTGAGGATCCCCGAAGGAGCAACTCACATAAAAGTCCGACAGTTCAAAGCCAAAGACCAGACAAGATTCACTGCCTATTTAGCACTGAAGAAGAAAAATGGTGAGTACCTTATCAATGGCAAGTACATGATCTCCACTTCAGAGACAATCATCGATATCAATGGCACAGTCATGAACTACAGTGGGTGGAGCCACAGAGATGATTTTTTGCATGGGATGGGCTACTCGGCCACAAAAGAAATTCTGATTGTACAGATTCTTGCAACAGACCCAACTAAAGCATTAGACGTCCGCTACAGCTTCTTTGTTCCCAAGAAGTCCACTCAAAAAGTAAACTCTGTCATTAGCCATGGCAGCAACAAAGTGGGACCACACACACCCCAGCTACAGTGGGTGACAGGACCATGGCTGTCCTGCTCTAGGACCTGTGACACAGGCTGGCACACAAGGACGGTGCAGTGCCAGGATGGAAACCGGAAATTAGCAAAGGGATGCCTTCTCTCTCAGAGGCCTTCTGCATTTAAGCAATGTTTGCTGAAGAAATGTTAGCTTGTGGTTTGTTCTCATGCACAAAGATAACTGGAGGATTGTCACAGATATAACTGTGTGAAGACAAGGCCTACCCAAGGCACACAAAGTAGTGATTCAATGTCATTGTCACCAGGAGTCAAATTATGGGCAGAATCTGCTCTCTGCGACCAAAACATGTACACTTCTTCTCATCATGATAGTGACCTTGGAATACAGAAAATGGGGGAGTTATGGAACATCGCTGAGCCTACAAAAAAAAGAGACACACAATGATGAATGTAGAATTGAGGACATTTGAAGATGGCAGAGAAGTTTTGTCACCTACCTCTTATAGAATGTCTTCAGAGGCATCGTGATCATGTTCAGCCATGACGCACAGCTTATTTTTACTGTTTGTAAATGCATCCAGCCTTGGAATGTCACTTTATATACTTGGTCCTATTAATATATATGTATATATATGCATATATATAATGTATATTTCTATAAAAAAGTATTTGACCAAAGTAGGTCTGCAGCTATTTCAACTACTAGCTTCCAGAAAGAGCTGTGGAAGATTTACTGGAAATTAAGAACTTGCTGCTGTTGAATAAGATTTTGTGTATTGTCTGACAGCAGGAGATAACATTTTAGTCAAAAAACTATTTTGACAGCAAGCATCTTCTGAGAAAGAATTTCTAAAGGGGAAAGGATCTGTGTGTATCTGGTCATTTAAACACATCCTCAGGTCCACGTACTCTAACCTTTGACTGTCTGTGTTTTTTTCAGGCAGCCAGCCAAATTATTGTATCATTGTGGTGTAGAAGCTGTGTTAGCCTGTGTATATGTGATCAGTATCCTAGGGTCTTAATTAGTTCACTTGTATTGGAATTTAAAAGAAAAAGTATGCCACTGTGTTTTCAACTTATAGTTTCACAACTGCTTACTTTCTGTGGCTCCCACCTAATATTTACAATGTGTAGTAAACATACACAATACACAGCATCATGTTATCTGTTACATCGAGCACCTTCGGGAACAGCATACCTCTTCTCAGCCAGCCTTTAAAATGTGTTTTGTGTTAGCTTGTTTGTTTTTCTTGATGGTGGGAAAAGACTTATCTTTTATATTGACTAGGTCTAACAGTAATATTAAAATTACTTCATGTTTAGTCTCATCTAGAAGAAACAATCGGTATTAATTCAATTAATTCAAGAAGTGAAACTCATTAGCATTAATAACTGTTTCCACATCTTGGGCAATCATCTCACAATTTAAAAAACATAAGCATATGCCTACTGTATTAGATAATTTTCCCAGTTGTGAATTGTCTGACAGTACCAGTGAGTGTATAAATAATGAAATGTAAAGGTTTCCAGGAAGTCTCTTACCTTTGGAGTAAGACTGCTCACTGAAAATAGCTAAAAATCATAAACAGAAGATACACTTTATATTATACACCACACAACCCCTTCCGAAAACTCAAATATTATGACGTGTTTTATTCCACTGGGATTTCTTTTTTCTTTGTGAAATACAGCAAAGCAAATTGTTTTATGTAAATTTTATACTGATCATACCAAATGTGCCTACTGTTAAAGATTTGCATATAAGGATTTTCAGAAATCCTGGTTAGAATTCCACTAAATGTATGAGAGTTTATTTTTATTATAGGATATTTTAATATAAAGAATTATGTAATTGATGACTCTATATCACCTTTATTTCAGTAGACCAGAAAGAAAAAAAAAAGAAATCTTAATGTCTTTGATTTACAAAAATATTTTGTGAAACAGATCGATGCTCTTCCAAACCAATCATCATCCTTTAGGATCTCATACCCTGGTCTCTTTACACAAAAAAATTCAATCTATTCCAAACTGGTGGCCAATATTGACTGGGGGTCTCCAAATATAGAGCAGAAAATGATCTAGTCAAACTGGTCAGAAAACAAAAGAATAAAGATCACACTGATAATTTAAAGGTACAAAGAGAATGGATAGAAAGTTTATTGTAACTGTTTTGAGCTTTGAAAACAATATGAATCAAGTAGTTCAAATGTGACCAAATTCATACTTTTATCTTTTGTGGTTATGTCAAAAGAAAATAAATGAGGAGTAAGCATAATTGTCACCTAACTCTACTTTCCCATATGGTCCTCATAGTCTTTATTAGGGTTTTTCAGTGGATTGCTTTTCCCTACAATAATGAAGTCTCACTTGGAATAGTCCCAGAAAGGACAGAACAAACAAACCACTATTCTATGTCTGAAGGAATTCTCTTTCCATTTTAAAATGGGAATCTACGTTGACAGGGAAAATGTATATAAAACTCCTAAGGAAAGAGACACAGCAAACTAAGATTCAGAAAAGGGGAGTGTTGGGGAGCGGAAGAGAAATGGATGATGAGGGGAAACCTATACTCAGTGCAGTTTGATTGTGTGCTGTCTTCCATCTTTCTATTGTGTACCTTGAAATTTTTAAAGACCTTGGATTTAGGATGATGACTAAGGACAATGCTCAGGTTACAATATTCCTGACCTCACTTGCATAAAAATCACTCTAGAATAAGTTTCATTGAGTGCGGGAAAGCCCAAAATGAAAGAAACCTTGTCCTTTTAGAACAGAAAATGTCACATTGACCCTCCTTGTTGCTTGGAAGCATAAAACACTGCTATAATGTGTTTAACAGAGTCAACATCCATTGCCTTCCTGTGGAACAGTTTTGAACTAAGAATTGAAGGATGGATCCCAAATGAACAACAAAAAAAGTTGCAGCACTGAAAATAAGTAATTTATTGTTTTTGCAACTGCTATGTGAATTCCTGTAATGAAATTATTTATTCTTATTTAACAAAAATATGTGCAAATTCTTCTATATTTAAAATGTTTTGCTATTGTCCTATTTTTAATTTATGCTACTTGTTTGTGTATAAAGTGCACTTTGTGAGTTTCTGTGATGTACACCACTGGTGGCTTTTGTATTTTTTTTTTTTTTACAGAAAGCTTTCTGTGTTAAAAACAGGTGTATGTGTGCATATTCGTCATATAGTTTTAATCTGCCACTCGCTCTCTCTCTCTGAAATTTAATCTTCCATGGTTTAGTAGTTCTCCTTACTCGACACTGTATTACAAGCCATTTAAATCCTATTAACATTGGCTTTTTCAGGTCACAAGTTTAAAAATGCATATTGAATCAAGCAAGTTGCAAGTTTTTAACTAGAGGACATATACGGCTTACAAGCACCCCGCAGAAGCTAAGCCACAACGGAGAATCTGATTTAAAACAGTCTTAGTGCAAGCCTGAAATTCCAGCACTGAGGAGGCTGAGGTAGGAGGATCATGAGGTTTAAGCCAGTCCAGGGTACACAGCTGCTCTCTATCTGGGGAGAATAAACAGAATCGGTGTCGTTCATGTCGCTGATAAAGATGTACAAGGAGCTGCCAATGTGTTATATGGAGGTTATGTTCACACAGCACCTCAGTGCATTAAGGAATACTGAGCATGAAGTCTTGCAACTTCAGAAGCAACTCCCTAAAACATTCTGACTTAGTATCTTCTGTCGCTAGAGACCCTGTAAAGGATCTCAAGTAAAATGGATTTATGTGATTCTGATAGTGTGGGTCACAACTTTTTGTATGTGTATTGGTGGACACTGCAGTAAGTGTGACCTTTTACTAATATCAAACTGTCCAGAGTGATAGGACCTGGAACTAGCAGGAACAGCTCTGGTAACAGCAGTTCATTTGTGACTGTGAATACACAATCCAGTTGTAGCATAAGGCCAAGCACTCTTGGAGCCACTATGCAACTCATTGGGTCAGTCCCTGGCTCTGATGTCTCTCCATGAACAACTTTGTTAGCAAGTTGACAAAGTCAGTGTAACAAGCAAGAGCTATAGGTAGGTTCAGAAGTCCAAGGTGTTCACTGTGACTACATTTCATCATTGGAAATATGTTAGGTACAACAATACTAATTCTACTCATAGTTGAGAACTATCTATAAAACAGTACTGCCATATCGTATAAATATCACACATCTCCTTACAGTGAAAATTGGGGTGATACAAATGTGTTGCATTTTTTTAGTTTTCCATGGCTACAAAATAAAAGAAAGAACTGTAAGAATAAAATAGGTCATTCAAGACAGATGCAAAGCCAAAAAGAGTTGTATCACTGAAACATACAGAAAATGAACTTTTATGGTTTCTAAATTATTTTTCTCACTGACCAACAATCTAGAGTTCTAGAGAATCAAACAAGTAAATCAGTCTGAATAGCCAGATAAAATGTGCTTATTAACATGAACTATAGACATGGCTTAAGGAATCATTTTACCACAAAACACATCAATCTATAATCAAGCTATGAATTCTATTTAATCAAACTATGGGTCCATGCATTATTCAGTCAGTGCACAGGAATGATCAAATCAATATATATTTCTTGGTGTGCAATATAATTCTAGTGCAGGTCCTGTGGGGGATATAATGAGGCATTTATTCACATATATATATATTGATATATATTCACATATATATTGACATATATATTATTATACCCAGTTAATTGTAATCTGTTAATATTTCATCACCTTTTCAATATGTTTGCTCTCTAGCCCTTACCTTATGGTTCTACTAACCAGCATGCGTGGACTACATAGAGTAAGAGGAAAGATAACCTTGCTCCATCTGATTAATCACCCTGTAAAGAAAGACCCACAGTGACTTGGGAGTCTAATTCTGAAGGGGCCTATCCTCAGAACACACTGTTTTCACTCCATTTTCCTTTGCCTTGTCCAGTGAAAAACTGTTAATTGTAACAGAGGGCTAACATCTTTAGTGGTTAACTGTCAAATATAGTATCTCTTAGTTTTTAGTTCCAGCACAATTCTACAATTTACTAGAATGATCTCTAACCGTACTGTCAAGCCCAGGCACAAGTTACTCCTCAGCATCTGGGAAGTCAGCATTTCTAATGGCTGTTCCAATCAAAGGTATATCTGAGGGCACTTAAAATGTCATCAAAACTTGAAGAGAG